CCTTCACTTTCCTGGCAAGCACAGAGTCCTGAATTCAATCCCCATACCACCACCCCCCCCCCGCCAAAACAAAACAAAAAAACCACCAAAAACAAAGCACACTGAAATGAAAGCAGTGTTGAGAGTAAGGAATGGTACATCAAGGAGCTTTTTCCTCTACATTTACATTATGTTCTATTACTTTTGCATCATAAGGTAGTTTTAAGAGCTAAAATTTACTGTGTCTCCTAAAAACACAGTAAGTTCACTCTCACCTGAGTGCTAGACAAAGTTATACTCCCATGATCACATTACAGACACAGACTCAAAGGCCTGGGATGTAGCGCAGCAGTATACTTGGGTAGCTCATGGTGAGGCCCTGGGTACGATTCACAGCAAGTACACCAAAGACATCACTCCGAGAAGTCCATTACAAATTTGCATACCTGTAACATTTCATTCGAAATTTTTTGTAGTTTTGTGTTTGTGTTTTTGAGACCCTGTCTCATTACGGAGTTCATACTGACCTTGAACTCACAGCAATCCTCCTGTCTCAGCCTCCCAAGTGCTGGGATTACAAGGTATGCCGCCATAACCAGCTCAGGCTTTTAACTCTAACAATTTCACTCATACTTCATTTTTTTAAAAGATCAAACCTGAAGCCTACTGGCCCGGGATGTAGCTCAGTGGTACCACTGCCTGCCTTGCAAGTACTAGGTCCCGATTAGATCCCTGGTACCAACAAAAAAAAACAAAAAAACCCCAGAGCCTATTGCATGGTAGTCAAACATTCTACCACTGAGCTACATCCCAGCTCCCACCTCCACCTCTTGCTCCAGTGTGAATTCTTGTAGGCACCAACTTTACTGTTTTAACCTAATATCTAAACAGCATACTCAAAAGAAATAACATGCTCAAGAAAGAATATAATTTTCACCTCTTTTCAAGTATTTTACAATTCATGGGAAACTGAACTTCAAATGAATATTTAAAGAAATACTGCCACCCTCTGGGTAGAAAAGGTCATGTTCCTTTAGGAAATATCAGAAAATACCATATAGCATTTGTAGAAGGCAGATAAGAAGTCTGCAGTTCAGGAGCTGGGTGTGGTGGTGCAAACCTGTAGTCCCAGCACTTGGGAGGCAGAGGGAGGAGGATCGCTACAAGTGCAATGACAGCCTGGACCACATAGTGAGTTCAAGGTCAGCCTGAACTGCACAGCAAGACCCTGTCTCAAAAAACAAAACAACCTTCAGCATTCAAATCCAGCTCTACCACTTGCTGTGTTAAACTAGAAAAATCTCAACCTTCTGAAACATCAGTTTTCTTTTACAAAATTGGGACATACTGTTTCTGCTTATTTCTCAAGGATTATGAAAACAGTCAAATCAGATGGCCATAAAATTATGGAATGTTTTTATAAGTAGGGGCTATATTTTTTCCTAAACATGGTATGTTTGAGTATAAAAAATCCATTTCCAGAGTGGGTGTGATGGCCTACACCTGAATCCCAGCATTTAGGAGGCTGAGGTAGGAAAGAGGATGGCCACGGGAGTTCAAGGCCAGCATAAACTACATTTTGAGATCCTATCTCAAAAAAAAAAATTTTTTTTTTTTTAATACTTAAACTGGGGACCTCAGGAGGCTTATGCAGAGGGATCACTTGAGCCCTAGAGTCCTGGAGTCTAAAGTCTGGGCAACATACTGAGAGCCTGTCTCAAAAAAAAAAAAAAAAAAAAAAAAAAAAAAAAAAAAAAGAAAAGGAAGGAAGAAGTTTAAGCAGGGTATTAACAACCAGGAGACAGATTTGAGACCTATGTGAAGGATAAGGAAATAGGAGAAATGTAAGAGTACATATGAGCTTCCAGCTGAATAGATTTTAATGTTATTCATTGAAACAGAAAATACAGGGCCAGGGATTTAGCTCAGTGGTTCGGTGGCCTGCTTTGCAAGGGCAAAGACCCAAGTTCAATCCCCGGTAACAAAAAAAAAGAAATAGAAAATACAAATTAAGTAATGTGTCCAGGGAAGGGGATTTAGCTCAGTGGCATCACGCCTGCCTCCCTAGCACAAAGTCCTGAGTTCGGTCCCCAGTAGCGCCCCCCCACCAAAGAAATGTATCCAGAGGCTGAGACAGGAATATTGCAAAGTCAAGGACGTTTTGGGCAACTTAGCAAGAACTTGCCCCAAAATAAAACAAAAAGGGCTGGGAATATAGCACAATGCAAAGGTCCTGGGGTCAATCCCCAGTACCACCAAAAAAAAAAAAAAATTCAACCCTGTTATGGTTAATCTTTTTTTTTTTTTTTTTTTTTTTTTTTAAGGGATCATCAAATTCAGGACCTTGTGCTTGCGAAGCAGGAGATGGAACCACTGAGCTAAATCCCCAGCCCACTATTAATATTTAAATTGGAAAAACTGGCATATCTATCCCAGGTAAATCACAAAATACAGTCACTCCAGTAAGATCAAGACCACCACAAACATTCACTAGTAAATAATACTTTCTTTTTTTGTGGTACCAGGGATCGAACCCCTGACCTTGCACTTGCCAGGCAGGTTTGGCTCCACTGAGCCACACCCTCCACACTAGTAAATAATATGAACACATCCAGACAATAGTATACTAAGTAGCCATAAAAAGAAAACCATTGTTTATTGGTCTAAAAATAAATAAAATATCCAAGACATACACATTTTTTAAAGGCAAGCTGGGTGTGGTGGCACACACCTATAATCTCAGCACTTGGGAGGCTGAGGCAGGAGGATAGCAGCAAGTTTGAGGACAGCCTGGGATACATCAAAAGTTCAGGCCAGCCTGAACTACAAAAGGAGACCCTACCTCAAAAAAAAAAATTTTTTTTTTTAAGGAAAAACACAAGACTCTTTCTAAAATATAGTATCAATTATATAAAAGGATAAAACTAAATTGATCAGATATGAATAGAATATATCTGAACTGTAGGGTAGAAGACACATACTTGTAGTTTCAGCTACTTGAGAGGTTGAAGCAGGAAGATCACTTGAGCCCAGGAGTGCAAGTCAACCTGGGCAAAACCCTGCCTCAAAAACCAAAAGAACCACAACAAAAACCGTATGTGGAAGGATATACTGAAAATCAGTGTTACAGCTTGTGTCTGTGTATCCCCGAAAACCTCAGGAGGCCATAGGTTGGGCTTTTCAGAGGTGACAGGATCTAGAGTGTGTGCCACTGGGATTAAGGGTGTGTGATTACTAAATTAGTCCAAACCAGTTATGGGTGTGGATCATGGAAAAACCCACCCTGGATGTGAGTGCTACCTTGTAACCCAGCATTCAGGAGACTGAGGCAAGACTGCTGCAAATTCGAGGCCATCCTGGGCTACATAGTAAGTTGAAGGCCAGCCTGAACTATACAGTGAGACCTTGTCTAAAAAAAAAAAATTATCTTTTTGTTATTGTTTGAGACAGGGTCTGGCTGTGCAATGCAAGCTGGTCTCCAACTAGAGATTTCCATGGCTCAAGTCTCCTGAGGGCTGAGAAAATTTTTAAATTTTTCAAAAATTTAGAACCTTTTGTATACTTTACCATGGTTTTTCATCCAATTAAACTACATAAATTACCTGATCTATAATTATTTTATCTAAAAATTTGCTGAATGTTAGAGAGCTATAAGAACAGTTTTTTACAAGTTGAAAAGTCAAAGCAAATGAGAAAGGGATATATCTCATTAGTACAGCACACATTTAGCATGTTTAGACCCAGTAGAAAAAAATTGTAGTTTATACAGTATTCCAATTAGGTCCTAAGTGTGGTCAAAAAGGTTTAGTCTCTTGGAGAATAGTTTCTCTATTGTTTGGTTGGTTTTGTGAGACAGGGTCTTGCTGTGTAGTTCATGTTGGACTTGAACTCATAGCAATCCTGCCTCAGCCTACCAAGTGCTAGGATTACAGGAGTGCACAACCACAGCCAGTGGTATATTTTTAGCATGCTCATGTTTATATTGCTTTGGTTGCATAAAATGAGTTTTGTAGTTGCTAAACAAAAAGAGAAATTAGTAAAGTACACTGGAATAGATACATCTCAAATGATAGGATATTTTATTTACTCCATGAAAGGCCAGGCTCAGGTTAAAATGTGTAGTCCCCATCTATCTTCTCATACTGTACTTCTCTTTCACTCCAAAGAACTGATTTATATCCCTCAAATGTTCCTTTTATACTGTTGGTTTTTGCACAGGTCTTTGAAACACCTTTCTCCTCACTGGGTTGCTAACACCTCTCATGCTTTAAAAGTTGTCTCTTGAAGTCAGAGATGGTAACACACAACTGTAATCCCAGACCTCTGGGAGGCTGAGGCAGGAGGATCACTGTAAACTCCAAGCCAGCCTGGGCTACATAGTAAGCTCAAGAAGAGCCTGAACTGCATAGCTAAACCCTAAAAGAAGAAGAAAAGAAAAAAGAAAGAAAGAAAAATTTAAAAATAAAAAAAGAAAGAGAGAAAAGCAAGTTAGTTGTTGGCATCCCACCTGGGCAACTTAGTGAGATCTTATCTTAAAATTTTCAAAAACAATTGCCAAACATGATGGTGCATGCTATAATCCCAGACTCGAAAGACTGAGGCAGGAGGGTCACCACAAGTTTGGATATGAAAGGAGTTCAAGGCCAGCCTGAACTACATAGTGAGACTTTGTCACAAAAATACAAAACAAAACAAAAACAATGCTGGGTGTGGTGGCACACGTCTGTAATCCCAGCACTTGGCTGAGGCAGGAGGACTGTTGCAAGTTCCAGGCCACCTTGAGTTCAACACCAACCTGGATTACACAGTATGTTCAAAGCCAATCTCAGCTACACAGAGAGATCCTGCCTCAAGATGATACGATCAGGGACTGGGAGTGTAGTTCGGAGGTGCAGCACCTGCCTAGCAAATATGAGTCCCTGAGTTTGATTTCTGGTACCAAAAAAAAAAAGGAAAAAAAAAATATATATGATCAAAATAATACATGTATAGAAAATACTACACTGAAATCCAGTATTTTTGTGCTTGCTTCAGCAGCACATATACTGTACTATACAGAGTATAATAGAGATTAGCATATCCTCTACACGAGGATAACATGCAAATTTATGAAGAGTTCCATATTTTTGTTCTCAAATGAGAAGGGGATCAAGAGATGGAGCGGGGGAGGATGAAAAAAAGACTTAAAATGTGTTATATACATGTACCACCTCCTCACAAGGAATGTAAACATGCATTGTAAACATGTATGAATAAAAATAAAGGTTAAAAAAAGAAATTCAATATTTTGTAAAATTAACAGGCATGATAAAAATGTACTTTTAAAAAGCTAGCTCTACGTTACCCAGCATTTCTACCTGAGCTGCCGGTCCTCTTCAGCCTAATTAAGCCTCCCTTCTCTACACTTCCTTCCCCATATCTACTTCACCGTGCCTTTCATTAGGAATGTGAAACATTACCTTTCTCACTTCTTCCCACTGTCAAAGCCTGGCGTTTATTATTATCTTTAAATTTTTCTGGACTCCTTAGCACTGGGCCTGGCACACTAGGCTGATGAATTCATTGAATTAATAGACGATTATGTCAGGATTGTCATTTTACCCAGTAAAGTTCAGGTTTATCTTTCTACATATAAACTAAAGTATAAAGGAATCTACATCAATAGTACCATTAACAAAGGCTAATGGAAAAAAATGTGAAATAATCTTTCACTTGAACAGCCCAGCTAAGGACTAGAACGAATTAAAGACTCTAAATCACACACACACACACACACACACACACACACACACAAAAACAATCTCCATATACAAACATCGTTTCCAATTCTGTATCTCAGAAAATTTAGTTTTTCTTATTTCAGGATTCAATCATTAAGACCAACCCTCCCTCACAAATCACATAACTCTGGCACAGCCAGGGACTGATTTATAAATCCACAATTACAGACACAGCAGTTTTATGTAGCTAATGATAACCTTACTTTCAAGCTGCCCAGATCAGACTAATACTTTAGCACACATTTAACTAGATGGATCCTTTTCAAATCAGAAACAAAAAAAGGACCTGACCCTGCCAAACATTAATCACCTGAGATGATAAACTTGTTCTTCGATATCTCATACTTTATACAGTGCTATAGGACTCCCAAGTCATGAGTTCACGCCCCATCCTCATGCAAAGACAACAATATTGAAGCGAGGCAGGATCAACCCACAGGTCAAAGTGCAGCTGGGGTCAGTTCTCTGGGCACCTATTCTGCAGGCAGATTTTCTTCACTACCCAATCAGTTCCCATTAGTAGAAAAAGCACAAGAAAGGAAAAAAATCATTACTGATTATAACTAAAGTTAATTAAAAGAACCAGGAATAGGAAATAAAGGAAGCAAATAATTTCTGGGTAATACTTAGAAATTTCCCAGCGTACGGTATTTTTCTCTTGAATGGCTCAAAAAGCTTTAGAGAAATAATAATATTTCAGTGAAAGAAGGGTACTCACCTGTTACATATTCAAAACCTAATGCTGAATTGAGTTTAGGTCTTAACTAGATGTTAAGACCTAGAATTCTGCCCCCTGAGCAAAACCCAACTTGAGGCAGCAAGTTTTATTCCCCGAATTGTCAAAGTGATAGAACCGATAGCATAGGGACTACAGAGAATGGCTACAGAAGGGAAAAAGCAGAAACAAAAAAGCGTCACTCCGTGTGGTGTCAAACCTCCAACCCTAACCACTGCAAAGGAGAACCACAGAACACAGGAGTGTGGTGTTGATGTTCATTTTCCTATGGTTACTCTTGATGGTCATTTTAGTGCAAAAATAAAAATAAAGTCATATTTTGTGATACAGCCAGAGCTACCTCAAAAGACAATTCCCAGTGTTGTAACATAGTGCTTCTGCATAAAATACATCATTTAGGAACGGGATCCTTTCTCCTGGAATATTTCAACTCATGAAGGAGGCTGCATGAAGGAGAGAGCCTGGCAGTCTTGGTTGTAATTTCTGGGCTGTGGTACTCTTGTGCTGGGTTATTTTATGCAAGTAAATCCCTTAGTTTTCACCTCTCCAAAATAAGACTAATTGCTTTGCAGGTCTTTGATTAGAAGAGATAAACTAAGTGGTTAGCAAACCACAGGCACTCTACACTAGCTATTTACATAACGAGTTCCTACTGAATACAGGTGCTTCTAGACCCTGTAGAGACCTGTAAAGTAAAAGTTCTTAGTTTCAAATGACAAAATTTCCCGAGTTATTAGTTTTCAAAATTCTTGCACATCACTTCTTCTCTGCCTATGGGCACAAGGGTAAGCAACTGAAACAGCCAAAATTTTGAAGCACTTAATGGTTTATAAAACATTTTTGTGCGCGATGACTTATTTTAACGTCTGAATTTTATGGATAAGAAAACAAATCCTACGAAGTCACCAAAATAAATGGTAGAGATAAACTTAGAATCCAGGAAACCTAATCGCAGCAGGGTGACCTTTCACCAGCTCATGAGTCACTAAGTTGTTGGGCAGCAGTTTCTGTGTGGGGTATTTTGCGGCCACCGGATCCCACTCACCTCCCAGCACCGCGCGTCCATGACTAGGATGCTTTTGGCCTGCGGCCGCGCTACGCACCAAGTTACTCAAGGGCTGGTTGTGGCCTTCGAAGGGCCACTAAGTAGCTCCTGAAAAGGGCTCACTCTCATCCTTGCTCCAGGCAGCAGTCTCTCCACCGCAGAGCGCCACAGTTCCTACCCAGCCGCGCCATGGCACAGCTCCCACCTTCTCACCCACAGCGCCGGCCGCAATGCGCACCGCAGGGCGCGCACAGTGGATGAGTCCGCAGGCTCCTAACGCCCGGCCCACCGCCTAGCTCTCATTGGCATCCTCGGTCTCTCCCGCCCCCCAACTCTTTGCTTCCCCTATAATTGGACCAGGAGCCTGTCCATCCGGGCCCCGGGAACCGCCTCCTCCACCCCCTCGACCCCAACCCAATTCTCCAGAATACCTGGTGCTGCACGCCCAGTCTTCACCTGAGGGAATAGGTGCTCCCGGCCTAACGGGGCTGGGTGGGGACCGGCACCACCCCCTGCTCCAGCCCCACCCCCGGCCCTCTTCTCCACGCCCGGCTCCGAGCTCCCTCACTTCGCGCGCCCGCACCTGTCTCGCCCGTTACTCTTCCGCCCCTCCCTCCCTCCCAGCGGGCGCTCCGACGTCCTTTGCGCTTCGGGGCTCGCGCTCCATGAGGGCTCTGCAGCGTGCGCTGAGCCCGGCCAGCAGTCACTGCCGGCGGGCAGGCTGGGGTCCCCTGAGCCGGAGCCCCCTCTTTGGCGGGGGCGTCCGGAAACACCTCAGTGAGGCCGCGGCGCAGGGCAGGGAGACGCCGCACAGCCACCAGACGCAGCGCCAGGATCAGTAAGGCTCGCGGGACAGGGGCTCCCACTCCCACTGTCGTCCTCGCTAGCTACCGAGTCCCCTTCCCCCAGGGACGGCATCTCATCTCCCCTCTTCTCGTTCACTAGCCTGCGATGCCTTTTCCTTTAGATTTGGGGCTTTGGGTCCGCCGCGCCCGGGCGGTAACGTGCCGCCCTCCCGCTAGGGCATTTGGGCAGGTCGGTCTTCGAGATGGTGCCTGTCCAAGGTGCGTACTTAACTGGGGACGTAGATGGGCGCCGAGTGTTTCCTGGGGGCAAGTGTCTGAATGCAGGGCCCTGTGCACGCCCGACCATCCTTGCCTTCCGTCTCCCTGCTCCTCTTGTGCGTTTTAGGGGATGTGTGGGTGTGCAGCAGCCTCTGCCTGCCTCAGGTCCCAGAGTACTCGGGTCTGTGTGCTGTGTCTGCTTCTGCGTGTCCTCAGCGGGGAATTGTGATGCGCGTGTTTCCAGTGCGCACATACGTGCTTATGTGTTGAGTCCGTGTGCCTAGCAGGGTTCCCTAATCTGTAGAATAAGGATGGTTTTCTAAATTGGTCTCGTCTTTTTTTTAAATAGGTGTAATTAAATGTAAGACCCTCTCTTCCCTTCATTTCTTGTGGGTTTTTTTTAAAGTTTTTTGGAACATTTTAGGTACACAATACAGTTACATTCATCGTTGGGATCCTGTACCTTTACATGATGTATCTTGGTTCTTCTAAATTGGTCTTTGCAAATATTTATAAGGGGTGGGGGAGTACTTATAAAATGCGCATTTCCCAACCAAGGCCAGTCAAAGCTGTTGTATATGCTGCTCAGGCTCCCTCACGCAAACGGTTCTCTTCCTTTGGGCACTTCTTACACCCCTGAAGCCAAACTTATTTCTCTCCCACCTCCCAGTACTAGGTGACTGAGTGCACCCTCCCGTTTTCTTCCCAGACAAGATGGTTCTCAGCTAGAAATTTGCCCCCCTCCCCCAGGGCCTGCTAGACACTGTCCAAGTATTCCCTTCTATTTATTTATTTATTTTTGGTACCGGGGATTAATCAAACTTGGGACCTTGTGCTTGCGAGGCAGACAACAGAACCACTGAGCTAAATCCCTGGCCTCCCCTTCCCTGTAGCAGTAGCAGGAAATGGGCCACCTCTCCTGTCATTGACACCTGCCTGATGACTCTCAGACACATATGCACAGCATATTAAAGTGGCCAGGCTGACCTAGCACTACCCCACCACTACAGGAGTTCCTATCCTGAGAGGTAGCAAACCAATAAATATTATTTATTAATCATTATTAATCTCTTCTCAAAGAGACATGGAACATTAAAGGATAAGCGTTCTCCTTTCTGTTCTAATCTCCACCCCACTTCCTCCTAAATATTTACTTTGGGAGATTACTTCTTGGCCTTTTGGCTAAGATCAAGTGTATTTACTTTGGGAGAATGAAGGTATGATAGAGCTCAGGCTTACCCTCCCTCACCTTTCCACCTCCTTTGGAGTGGGGAACTTGAGGTTAACCCTGATTCCCCCCACCCAGATACCCGCAATTAGTAGCAGGTGGTGGAATGTTTTAGGAGACCTAGTTACTCCTCTCTATGGCTGCTTGTTATCCAGAGAACCTCTTTAAAGGCCTTGGAGCATTGGGTCCTTGCTCCCTGGACAGAGGGGTAGACAGCACCAGAGGTTATGGGCTCTGGAAGTGTGACACCAGAAGGGAGAGTGATTTCTGTGTTTCTGGGGGAAGGAAGGCAGCAAAGAGGAAATTACTTGTAACTTGGGTTATTTTTTAAATATTTAGCCTATTGTTGGGCATAGTGGCAACACCTGTAATCCCAGCACTTGAGAGGCTGAGGTAGAAGAATGTCTGTGAGTTTGAGGCCAGCTTGGGATACATAGTGAGTTCAAAGCTAGCCTGAAATATATAGTGAGACCCTGGGATGTAGTTCCGTGGTGCAGCGCCTGCCTGGCAAGTGCAAGGTCTTGAATTCAAACACTGCTACAAAAAAAGTTTTTTTTACTGTTACTATATTTATCATGGGAGGGGGGCAGTGTCTCACTGTGAACCTCAGGCTGGCCTCAGATTTACAGTGATCCTCCTGCTTCAGCCTCCCAAGTGCTGTGATTATAGGCATGCACCACCGTACCCAACTTCTTCTTAATACTGTTTATCTTGTTTTTCTTAAAAGTCAGAAATAACAGCCAGGCATGGTAGCACATGTCCATAACCCCAGCACTAGGGAGTCTGAGGCAGGAGGATTACCACAAGTTCAAGGCCAGCCTAGGCTACATAATGAATTCAAGGCCAGCCTGAATTGCAAAGTGATACTCTACCTAAAAACAACAGGTATCAAGAAGAAAATAAGAGGCTGAGGATGTAATTCAGTGGTAGACTGGTTGCTTAACTTACTTTACACAAGGCCCTGGAAAGATCCTAATGTTAGAGATAACCAATTACGATTGTGACATATCCATTTATCCTATATATGTATTCATACATAATTTATTTGGTAAAATAAGGTTTTTCATTTGCAAACAGCTTTTCTTTCTTTTTTTTGAGACAGGGTCTCACTGAGTCACTAAATTATCCAGGCTGGGCTCAAATTTGCAATCCTGCCAGGCATAATGGTGCACACCTGTAATCCTAGCACTCAGGAGAATGAAGCAGGAGGGTCACTGTGAGTTCGAGGCCAATCTGGGCTACATAATGAGTTCAAGGCCACTCTGGACTATATACACACAAAAACCACCTTTGCAATCCTCCTGCCTCAGCCTCTAGGAGTGAGGCATATACTATCATCCCCAGCTTGTGAACAGTTTTTTGAGACAGGGTCTCACTATGTAGTTTAGACTGACTGGTCTCAAACTCACAGTGATCCTCCTGCCTCACCCTCCCGAGTGCTAAGATTGTAGGCATGCGCCACCACGCCAGCATGAACATAATACTATTGAATGTGTTTTTATGACATTATCACTTTTCTTTTTTTCAGTACTGGAGATTGAACCTAGAACCGTGTACCTGCTAAGCAAGCACTCTACCACTGAGCTACATTTTTTTCTTAGACAGGGTCCCTAAATTGTCTTCCAGCTTGTGGTTCAACTGCCTCAGCAACCACCCCTCCAGTTGAAGTGTATAATTCTTTCTTAGAGTAAATTTCTGGGAAATTTTGCTCCCCAGAGATATTTAAAGTCATGGATAACTTGCCTAGCTTTCTAAAAATATTTTATGCATAAAATACCTGTGATATTATTTTCCCCTTTTTTATACAAATGGCATTATACTATACACATTGTTCTGTACCTTGCTTTTTTCCCTTCAGCATTATATTATATTGGTAATCAATCCATGTCTCAGTCAAAGGGTCTGAAATGTTTTAAAGGCTTTTAAGTTATCCTAAAGTGGTGTGGCATTATTCCCTGTCTTCCATCAACTTCCATGCACAGAAACTTACCTTCAAAGTGTTGCTATAGAGGCCGGGGATTTAGTTCAGTGGTTCTGCCACCTGCCTTGCAAGTGCAAGGTCCGGAGTTTGATCCCCAGTACAAAAAAAAAAAAAAAAAAAAAAAAAAGAGTTGCTACAAACCTTCCTCTTGAGTTATTCCTTAAATAGTCCTTTTCCCCTCTGCTCCTTATGGGTACTAGCATCACTGTGTTCCTCAGAAATAGGATTCTCTCTCATGATGTTTCTCATGACCCCATACATACACATGCCTGGTCTATGCCAAGCCTCTTCAGAGTCTTTTTATTTTTTAGAGTATTGTTTCAATAGATAATAGAATCATATGGTTCAAAATTCAAAATTTACCAAAGATATAGCAGTGAAATCTGGTAATTCTTACTGAAGATGCACTGGGTACTAGGGGAATGCTAGGAAGACAATGTATAAAACACAAAGACCTAAAAGTAGAGCCAAGTATAGAGTCTTCTGACAGTAAGATGGCACAGGTGTCATAGCAGCAGCCTAAGCAAAATCTGGTTTGGGGAAGCTGTCTCAGTGGGTGACACTGGATCTGGAGATAAGAGAGGAAAGTCATTTCATGCAGAAGTTGTAGCATAAGCAAAGTCCAAAAGGCCTCTTAGTGTATGGCCCAGTTTGGGAGCCATCCATTATTTCAGTCATAACTGCAGTGTGGGAGCATGGTGGGGAATAGGAAAAGAAAGTTGGCAGGTTCTACACAGCCTTGAACACTACACCAAGAAATAAGAGCTTATTCTGTATCCCCTATGGAACTGCCACCAGAGGTTTTCTTTTTTTGCAGCATTAGGGTTGAACCCAGGGCCTCGTGCAAATAGGCAAACACTCTACCACTGAGCTACATTCCTAGTCCTTTTAAAATTATTTTTATTTTGAGACAAGTTCTGAGTTGTCCATTCTGGCCTTGAACTTGTAATCCTCCTACCTCAGCCTCCCAAATAGCTGGGTTACAAGTGTGTGCCACCATATCTGCCACTACAAAGTTTCTGAGTAGAGAAAATTGACTTTTAGATAACTGGCACATTGTGAAAGATGGATAGGAAGTCCAGAGAGTACAGTGGCAACTGGGTAACAGACAACAGAAAACTGATGATAAATCAACATGATTTACTGATCTTTATTAAAACAGGGTCTCTCTATGTGGTTCAGGCTGGCCTTGAACTTGCTGCAATCCTCTTGCCGCAGCCTCCTGAGTGCTGGGATTATAGGCATGTGCCACCACACTCGGCAAATGAGATCTACTTTGTGTTTGTTTTTTTGTGAAATAGGATCTTAAGCCTCATATCACCCATGAGAAGTAGCCATTAATAGCCATTTTTTACAGATAAGTCAGTTCAACACTATTAAATGACCTGCCCAAGATCATATAGCTGTTAAGCAACAAATTGTGGTTCTTTCTGTTACACCATACTTATTACACAAGGGAGAAGGAGAATAGAGAATAAATTTAAAATATTATTGTGCACATGCCTGTAATCTCAGCACTCTGGAAGGCTCAGGCAGTAGGATCACAAGTTTGAACTCAGCCTGAGCAATTTTGCAAGACCTTGTCTTTTTTGTTTGTTTTTTTTTGTCTCACTACGGGTCTCACTAGGTAGTTGAGACTGACCTGGAACTCACTATGTAGCACAGGCTGGTCTCAAACTCACAGCAATCCTCCTGCCTCAGCCTCCCGAGTGCTGGGATTATAGGTGTGCGCCACCACGCCCAGCATGAGACCTTGTTTAAAAAAAAAAAAAGTCTGGGAATATAGCTAAGTGAGAAAGGTTCAATCCCTGATAGTCAATAAATGAATAATTGCAAGGGTAGATTAAATGGTTCACAGAGGAAGCATGAAGAAGACACCTAATGATAAGCCCATGTTCAAGGAGGAGAAGCAGGGAGCAGTTCTCAGGCTCCTGCCCTCCTCCCTGTCTCTGTTCCCCAAACAGTGATACATCACAGAGTGGCATGTTGTCCCGCCTTGGTGACTTGCTTTTCTACACCATTGCTGAGGGACAGGAACGAATTCCGATCCACAAATTCACTACAGTAAGTTATTCTCTGCTTGTTCTGAATCCTCATCTGTTGGGACTGCTGGGAAGTGGGAAACAGAGGAAAAGTGGGATAAGTGCAGGGTGCTAATGTGTTGCTACTGGAGAACGAAGAATACAGATGAGCAGTAACAGATGCCGAGGCCAAGACAATCCCATCTCTGCCTCAGGGCCAGGAGATGAGACACTGACTCATGAAAAAGAGCAGGAAACCCTTGTCACCCTTCAGCGCTGCTGCATTCCTTCACTCCCTAGTTTCCACACCCATTCATTACACCTAAGGTAGTCATTGGGCTGGAACTAATTGAGTATCAGAAAAAAATATTTAGATTACTGTCCTTGAGTGATCTTACCTGGCCTCTTCTTTCCCCTAAGGCACTGAAAGCCACTGGACTGCAGACATCAGATCCCCGGCTCCGGGACTGCATAAGCCAGATGTACCACATGGTCCAAGACTCCAGCAGTGGTGGTCTCTTGGACCGAGATCTCTTCCAAAAGTGAGGGTCCCAGAAACAAAGGCACTATCTCAAAACTGTTCAGTACTCTTGGGGACTGTATAGTTCAGCCTCTTACTCTATTGTATTACTATACAAGTAATACATGAAGACTCATAAAAGTTCAAACAGTATAGCAATACATTTTCCTTTCCTTCTCCATCCAGTCCTAGACCCCTTTACCAGAAGTAAATAATGTTAACAGGTTAGTGGCTATCTTCTCAATAATGTCTTATATTTTCAATACATATATGACCATATAGAAATATGTCTCACATTATCTTCCCATGTCATGACAATACCTCACTGTAGAGACGAGATAAAAAGATAAAGTGACTTGCCAAAGATCACATATCTGTTGGTCCCAAACTAGATGACCATTCACAACCTTCTTCATTTCCAACTTCCATGGCTCCAGAGTGAGTCCCAGCTGCATCTCTCCAGCCCCCTAATGCAGTCATGTCTGGGATCCAGGTGTGTGAGCAGCAACATTGTGCTCCTGACCCAGGCATTCCGAAAGAAGTTTGTCATTCCTGATTTTGAAGAGTTCACGGGCCATGTGGATCGTATCTTTGAAGATGCCAAAGAGCTCACTGGAGGCAAAGTGAGGGCCAGGGGAATAAGGGAGGGGCAAGGGCTCTGGGCCAAACATATCTTACTTCTCAGAGTCTTCCTGGGGCTGGGAATCCAATGGGTGAGACGTGAAAAGCAAAACCTCTAAAAATGGGAACATGACCTCATGTGTTTCCATACAGGTGATTCCTAGAGCAGGTGAGGGAATTCTATGGGGACAGTTGGACTAGTCAGTTGAGCCTTCAGGGTAGCCACCCCTACGAACCAAAAAGGGAAGCCAACCTCAGAAATGTCCATTTTTCTTCCTTGTTTCTTTTCTTTTCTCTTTCTTTTCTTTTTTTAACTTTAAGTGGATTTACTGACATCCCTACAGGTTTGGAGCTACAGAAGGATAGGTCCCCTAGGACTTAAGGCTTGAGTATTTCTGGGAGCACTTGGCAGAAAGAAATCCATCTGCCATGCAGGAGACAGAATTTTAGCTTTTGTCCAAGGTTTTCCTGACCTTGAACCTCAGCACTGTTCTGCTCTGTATCCACTTCTCTTTTCTCTACCCACTCATGCCCAGGTGGCGGCCTACATCCCTCAGCTGGCCAAGTCAAACCCAGACCTGTGGGGTGTCTCCCTGTGCACTGTGGACGGTCAGCGGTGAGATGCTGGGTGAGAGGAAGGGGAGCAGGGCACAAGGCGGGAACCAAGGCCGACCTCTTTCATGGCCCCTGTCCACCTCCAGGCACTCTGTGGGCCACACAAAGATTCCCTTCTGCCTGCAGTCCTGCGTGAAGCCCCTCACCTATGCCATCTCCGTAAGCACTCTAGGTACTGACTACGTGCACAAGTTTGTGGGCAAGGAGCCCAGCGGCCTGCGCTATAACACTCTCTCCCTCAATGAGGAAGGTGAGCTGCCCCAGGACTAACCAAACTCACATCTGCACTCTCTTCCTCATCTCCACCCTCTTCCTCAGACTTTTCGGTTTCTTTGCTTTTTCCCTATCCGTGGACTAATCCTGCCTATCCCTGCTTAGCTTCTGAGATCAGACAATATTAGCCGCTTTCAGGGTAGAGCTGTAGACTTGTTTGTTTTTTCTTATTAGTCCTGCCACTCCTTTCTCCCCAGCAAAGAAATGTTTCTTAGGCAGGCTGTAAGGATGCTTTGTCCAGTGACTGATAAGACTGGGTGATTTGTATTTCCCCAGGAATCCCCCACAACCCCATGGTCAATGCTGGTGCCATTGTTGTCAGCTCCCTGATCAAGGTCAGTGCCACCTTAACTTTCTGAAAGGTACTGTTCTCTAAGCCTCCTTATTTTTGTATTCCTCACAGCTGTTCAGCTTTCCGGGTAGACCAGTGAGGGATTGATTCTTGTGAGGATTCTTAAGAAGCACATAAGCCCACAGCAGGGGCCCAAATTTTATAATGAGGATGTTAATAAGAAGAACTGTGCTACCTCTTCCACTCTCACCTCATATTGTCACCTGCCCCCACCCACGAGTCTAGCCCAAAGCTTTCTGGCCCTTAGAGAAGTGAGCAGATCCTGACCCCTGCCTAGGACCAAGGGCTGAATGCCAGAGGCATTCAGGGGAGGACAGCACTATTAGGCACTGATTGGCCACTTCTGGGTGAGGAACATGGAGAGGAGGTGAATGGCCAGGCCAGGCCAGTTACTCACGTCACCTGGAGCTGTAAGTTGGCCTTGAACAAGGGTGTCAGGCAGGGCCCATCAGCTGTAGATCTCCCAGGGCTTGAGCAAGAACCTGGGAACAGTGTGGGCAGCAACACTCTGGAACCAATCACAGCTCCTTGTGGGGAAGGTGGTGTTAGAAACCCTCCCCCCAGGGACTCAGGTATCAGAGTCCCTGTGCTGTTGACTCTATAGCTGACATGTACAAGAAGCACTGAGTCTGGGGGAGGAGACCAGGCCAAGCCTCTCATCTTGTTCTGAGATGGCTCTATCTACAGCCTGTATCTGATACCTGGCTCATCTCCCCGCCCAAATCAGCCATATTAGACATGATTCTCAGCTAAAATCTGTAGCCTCAATGCTGGGGGTATAACTCAGTAGCAGAGTGTTTGCCTAGCACAGATGAGGCCTTGTGCTCAATCCTTACCATGATCAAAAACCCTTCAGCTTCTCTATTATAATGAATTCAGCAGATACCCTCGCCCATTTCTGCCACTCCATCCAATCTTGGAGATTGTATAGGAGTCAGGAGAGTGCTGGGCTCTACCCTGAGGTGGTGGGACTTGGGCGCGGAACTGGCAATAAAGGAAAATGAAATTTGGAATCAGGGATGAGGGATCAGAGTGAGGACAGAAGTAGTAAGGCTGATAGATGGGGTAAGGTTATCGATCTCCTCATTACATAATAAAATTCAGTCAGTTAAGATCAGTAGATACACATAGATACAAGAATGTCTCAGTTGCTTAAAAAGAAAGTTCCCCAGGGCATGGTGGTGAGCACCTGTAGCTATAGCTACTCGAGGGGGACTGAGCCCTAAAACTCCAGACCAGCCTGGGCAACATAGCAAGACCCCATCTTAGAAAAACAAACCAAAAAGAGACAGAGAAAAGAAGACAGGGTTACTGTAACATGTAACATTCTCAGGAGCTCATCTAGCACTCTAATCCACTAGGTGCTTTGGACCCTTCCCTGTCATCCTCCTAGGCTTGGAATACTGACATTCTTCTCTTTCTCTGCAGATGGACTGTAACAAAGCAGAGAAGTTTGATTTTGTAAGTTCCTCTGTTACTCGGCTCCTGGCTGCCTTTTGCCATGGCATGCTGTTCTCTCCAGCTGTCTCAAATGCCTGGCTTTAAGCCCACTATCAGGTGGACCTGCCCATACCAGAATCCTTATTTCCAGAAGAGTGGGAATCTGCTGGCCTCAGAGATGAAAGCATCTTGAGTCCCTGCTCTCTTGGGTGAAGCTGGTTCCAACGGGCTAAGTAATTTGGGGATGGTTAGTAGGGGTCCTTAGTCACATGGCCCTGTTCTCTTCCAGGTGTTGCAATATCTGAACAAAATGGCTGGAAATGAATACATGGGTTTCAGCAATGCCACGTAAGGCCCTGTTCAGAGGGATGGCTGAATCCACTGTGGTGGTGGTGGTGGTGTGTGTATCTCTTATACACAGGAGAGAGGAGGGGAGGGAGTCAAGAAAGAGAGTGAATGAATATGAATCTTGGGCCGGCGTGGTGGTGCACGCCTGTAATCCCATCACTTGGGAGGCTGAGGCAGGAGGATCACTATGAGTTCGAGAACAGCCTGGGCTACGTAGTGAGTTCCAGGGTAGTCTTAACTGTATAGTGAGACCCTGTCTCAAAAAAAAAAAAAAATCTTGGGAGGAAGAAATTCCAGAGGTGCTAGGTGTAGTGATGCACACCTGTAATCCCAGTACTCAGGAGGCTGAGGCAGGAGGACTGCTGCAAACTCAAGGCCAGCCTGGGCTACATATTAAGTTCAAGTCCAGAATGAACTATGTAGCAAGGACTTGTCTCAAAAAAAAAAAGAAAAAAGAACTTTGGCTTCCTGCCTTCCACTGAACCCCTTTATTGGCATTTGTTTACTTTATGAAACAATTTCATTTTTAATTAGTATGTATGCAATGAGAGAGGCAGTATGATGGTTTATGCCTAAACCCTTGCCAAGACTCTCAAAGCCAAAAAACCTCACTAGTGTCCCTATAGACAGCTATGGCTGGTTTTTAAATTTTTATTTACATTTTACAACAAAGCTGTGTGGAGTTTTTGCTCAGGTTTGGAAGTATCCTTTAATGTTAATGTGCAATGTAGACAAGGGGCCAATTCTATTTGATATGTGTGTAGTTCTATGTCTATGATGGTATTATCTCGCCTTTTCCCCACACCCACCTCTCAAACTTCACACACTAAGTTGGGTGTTTGCTTCAGATTCCAGTCTGAGAAGGAAACTGGAGATCGGAATTATGCCATTGGCTATTATCTCAAGGAAAAGAAGGTAACTGGGAGAGAATGGTAGAGAAAGTCTCTGGGAATTCTGCTGCTGGCGGAAGGGAAGTAGGGCCTGGGGGCTTCAGCTGAGACCCTGACAGTGTGCAGGGGGCTGTTGATGGTCTGAAGAGAATGCTCTCCCTTCTTCCTGCAGTGCTTTCCTAAGGGGGTAGACATGATGGCAGCTCTTGATCTCTACTTCCAGGTAAGCAGACACTCTTAGGACTGAGAGAACAGGACAGACTGCTTTCCCTCCTGGCTCACACAGGAAATACCAGGGAAGCTTGTTGAGAGATCTGAATGGCAAGAACACGGTCCTACACTGTGTACTGGGCCCACACTGCACCTCCGCCTCTCTCCTGTCTCCACAGCTGTGCTCCGTGGAGGTCACCTGCGAATCAGGCAGTGTTATGGCAGCCACCCTTGCCAATGGTGGGATCTGCCCCATCACAGGCGAGAGCGTGCTGAGCGCTGAAGCAGTGCGCAACACCCTCAGCCTCATGCATTCCTGTGGCATGTACGACTTCTCTGGCCAGTTTGCCTTTTATGTGAGTGTTTTGGATCCTGCCATCCATCTGCCATAAGCCAAGTGGCAAGAAGGGACCCTGCACACTAAAGATAGCAGGAAGCTTGTTTCTGCTGTCCAGGCAGCTAAGCTGAGAACTTTAGGGGAAGCTGTCAAACACACGTTCCTCAAATCTAGACACAATGGTGCAGCTTCTGAAATACTTCTGTGCGATCTTTTTTATGTATTTCAGTAAGGGGTTCGAATTCAGTACCTTGTGATTGTGAGGCACAATGCCAATGAGCTAAATCCTCAGCTCCCCCACTTTTGGTACCAAGGATCAAACTCAAGACCTTGCACTTGCAAGGCTGGCACAATGCCACTGAGCTAAATCCTTGGTCCTCAGGCGATTTTTAATGCGGCTGTCCCTTTGTAAGAGTTCAAATCTAGCTGGGCGTGGGGGTACACGCCTGTAATCCCAGCACTCAGGAGGCTGAAGCAGGAGGATCACTGGGAGTTCAAGGCCAGCCTGGGCTATATAGTGACTTTGAGGCCAGCCTAAACTACATAACGAGACCATCTCAAAAAACCAAAATCAAAACCAAACGAAACAACAAAAAAGGTGTTTTTTTGTTTGTTTCTGCTCACTAGGCAAGCACTCTGGCACTCTGCCCCTGAGCTACACCTGCCAGGAGAGATTTTTCTGACTGCCTTATCTCAAATAGGCCCGCCTCTATTCACAGCACCTTCACCTTTTTCTTTTCCATGTTTATTATAATTATTTTTATTTTTTGGTACTGGGGATCGAACTCGGGTCCTTGTGCTTGCGAAGCAGGCCACCGAACCACTGAGCTAAATCCCTGGCCCCTATTAGAATTATTTTTGTCTATTTATGTTTGCGTGTTTATCACGTACCATCAGAAAGTAAGTTAAATGAGACTTGTCCTAGTTCTAAGCGCAGCAGCCACCACAGAATGTTAATATCTCAGTAAACATTCCCTAACTATATCAGCGAATGGAGGAGGAGAGTGCCATTAAGAAGCTAATTAATATGGTAAAAAAGTTGAGGTGGGCTGTGGCCTTGCCGATACAGTCACTTAGAATAGTCTGCTTGTTTGTTTTCCTAGATTTGGGGGACTCTCAACTCATCCTTAGCTTCAAATTTGTTTTCCAGGTGGGTCTGCCAGCCAAGTCAGCTGTATCAGGAGCCATCCTCCTGGTGGTGCCCAATGTCATGGGAATGATGTGTCTGTCCCCTCCGCTAGACAAGCTGGGGAACAGCCAGAGAGGGATCAACTTCTGCCAGGTAAGGTGCTCTGCACAGACTACCATTTTTTAATTAAGCCATAAGTTGAATAGTTGCTACTTTAAGTAAATAATTTTGAGCTCCTACCAAGTCCAAGAAGTAAACATCTTTGGCTTACAATTCTAGAAGTTGGTGTCTCTCTTTAATTTCCACAACTATGACAACCTACGGCACTGTGCTCGGAAATTAGACCCACGGCGTGAAGGGGGAGAAGTTCGGGTAAGGGATTTTTAAGGATATCTCAGACTAGAATATTCCGTGACATTTTGGCAATACCTTTGGCTGAGGATCGATGGGGTAAGGTTAGAAAGCAGAGCTGGGAACGGGTGGATTCAAAATCACAATCTCAGGTGGGTATTTGTGTTCTAGAACAAGACAGTGGTGAACCTGTTATTTGCCGCCTATAGTGGAGATGTTTCAGCTCTTCGAAGGTAAATCTACTGTGACCAGATGCACACAATAAGATACTCCCGTGCAGAGATCTTACTAGGAGGCAACATAGCAAAGTAGTAGAATGCTTTCTCTTGAGGTTTAGCTGGAGTGGACATAGATTGCATTTAAATGAGATTATTTCTAAAAATTAAAGTACCTGCCATATAATAACTTAATGAATGGCAGTCACTGCTACTAACTTTGAGTATTAAAAGAACAGTCCTTAAGAGGTAAGGACCCTACCCGAAGTGATTACCGACAGCAACAAAATTGTGCAATAGTGATGTCTTTGGAAGCATCATATTCCCATCTCTCTGTCGTGAGAGTAAGTCTTACTTTGTATAGGACACAAACTATACAGAGCCTACAGGTCTTGGCATAAACTGTTTTACTTTTTCTGACCCTACTTCAGAAAGGACACTAGTGATTCTAAACTGATGTGGGTAACCCTGCCACTTTCTACTACCCTCAGGTTTGCTTTGTCAGCTATGAATATGGAACAGAAAGACTATGACTCCCGCACAGCTCTGCATATTGCTGCAGCTGAAGGTACCTGAAGGGTCAGAATGGGGAAGCAAAGCAGAAGATTTTATCTAACTCTAAGAGCACCCTCATGTCCTCAAGGTTACAAGGGCAATAACTAGTTTTGTCCAGATGTCCTACAGCTGGAAGCGAGACTATTTATTATTGGGCGCAGATAGGGAACAAAATGGAAAGATTTTTCTTCTCCCCAAGGGTCTGAACCAAAGGGTTCGGACCTATACCCTCTTATTTTCCTTCTGCCTGTATTTTTAGGCCACGTTGAAGTTGTTAAGTTTCTGATTGAGGCTTGCAAAGTGAATCCTTTTGTGAAGGACAGGTGAGTAGGATTAGTCTAAGAGGGGGCAGAGCTTTTCCACCACTGCCCCAAGCACTTGTACACAGCCATGGTACTCTCCGTGTCTTCTCTGCCTGATCATGATCACTGTCCTTCTCAGGTGGGGTAACATTCCCCTGGATGATGCTGTGCAGTTCAACCACCTGGAGGTGGTCAAATTGCTTCAAGATTACCAGGACTCCTACACACTCTCTGAGTCTCAGGCTGAGGCAGCGGCTGAAGTCCTGTCCAAAGAGAACTTAGAAAGCATGGTATGAGCATAGGTCACGTATAGGAAAAAGCATTAGCTGGCCACCCACTTAACTCAGACATCAAAATGCTATGGCGTGCTGCTTCGGTGGGGACCAAGAAAGCCATTTGGTGACACAGGCCAGTGCTTTTTGTGAGTCAAAATACCCCATGCCTTCAGCAGACAGAAAACAGAAGGACCAGAGGGACAACTGCAATATAGCTATCCACGGAGACTTCAAAGTATAGCCTAATGGAGTGGCCCCATCAAAACTGTCCCAGGTCTTCACCCAGGTACCCTTCTTCTTGCTGAAAAAAGCACCAGGACAGAGAGATACTTCAGTGAAGGAACTCTAACTACCATGAACACATATATATCACAGAGTAAGAGGAAGAGAGGGGCCTGTGCACTTGGCTTTAGTAGTCTGGAGAGATGTCCCCTTGGCCAGGACATGCTGCTGCTAATGCTAACAGCAATTTTATAGACAGAGAAAGTATTTTGTGCTCAAATAAACTTTAATTACACAAATTATTATTTTTGTTAAATTCATTTTCTTTCTCCCATAAGGGTCTCAGCTTCATCACCATCATAGAAGGTAGAATAAAACAGAACCACAGCATCAGACAGCCGCCCAAACAAAACATATTTCATGCACATATTCTCTTCCCCACAAGGTTTTCCTCACCCCTAAATAATGCTTCACATTAAATGTATTCTGTTGCCAAGGGGAAAAGGGGTTTGGATCTGAACAGACCCAAAAATGGATGTTGCAAAATCTCAGGCTTTCCTCCTTCCTCTGAAGTTTCAACTATGGCAGAAATTAAGGTGGAACTTCTGGGCCGGGGATTTAGCTCAGTGGTGCTGCCGCCTGCCTCACAAGCACAAAGTCCTGAGTTCGATCCCCAGTACCAAAAAAAAAAAAGATGGAACTTCTCAGGAAGAAAGTTGCTGGCACTAATCCCCTAGATATCCCTCTAGTATCTCTTCCCTTTGGTCACAGTTGTTAACTGGCACAATGATTATGACAGACTGGCTAGGTGTGAGGGTGAGGGTTGCTGCAGCTATGTGAGGCTGAGGGTCTGTGCATGGAGGTACCAGGGACAGAGGATTCTGTTCTCACTCAGATCTACTGAGTCAATAAAGCACTGAGGGAACCAGAACCCACACTCTGTAGGTGGTCCAAGTCACTAAACAACTCCTACAGCCAGAGGTAGACATAATTTACTCAGGAGAAATTTGGTAGAGCACCCAAAACAAGTTACACATGAGTAAAAGGAAGGAGAGATCTTACAGTGACAGATACATAATTCAAACACAGCTGAAAGACTACAAGACGGAATAGTCTCACAGAGACTATGGGAAGACAGACTAAAGAAGCCAAGTCAGGGAACATAATACCCATGGTTGTCCAGGAAACTGGCAGTAGTTTGAAACTGCATGCCCAGCTTTCATAAGGTAGAAGACAAGCTGATGCACAGGTCTTGATACTGAACAGTGGGAGCTAGGGCTTGCCTGAGGCAACGTAAACAGTTTCAGACACTTTGAACAGAAAGGGGGCCAAGAGCATAATTAGGTACTCCAATAATGGACATACACTAGAGACCCTCTGGCACCTCTAACCCTGAATGAGTCAGCAGCTCTCCATCCCAAAGAGCAAAAGCAGGCACCACTGGACCCCGGAATTCTGTCTGTAGTGTGAAAACCACCAAGACCTGGCTCACATCTACCAGGCTCAGCTTCTGGGCCTCATACTCCAGCAGCAGCCCCACCTTCTCTGGCTGCCCGATACCCTCGATTGGGGCTTTCTCATTGGCCAACATGGTGTGCCACTTGCGCTGGGCACAGGAGAACACCCATGACTGATCATCAATACCGATGCAGCTATCCCGAGATATGTCCACATCTGCCACTCCTATTCGGAATTGCTGGGAACGCTTCACTGTCACTTCCCAATAGTGTCTGCCACTCGTGACCGCTGTGTCTGCCAGCACCACTGCCCACTCCCGGAAACGCTCCACATTCAGGGCTAGCTTGGTGGGCTCCAATCCCACCAATCCATATTTGACACCTGTGTCGCCTCTGAAGAGTGCCAGACTGCTGTGGGCGGTTTTTTCTTCCAGTTTGAAACTGATGCCTGCAGGCAAAGCAAAAAGACTGGATAATGACAGGAGTAGGACTCTAGGGCTGGTAACAGGTTCATATCCTGAAGTAGGGAGCCAGGAGGAGATCACGAAGAATGTCAGGCAAGCAAACGAGTGGAGAATGTTGCTTTAGTATGGAAAGCCCAAGGAGCCGAAAAACTCGGACTGGAAAAGCCGTGTGCTAAAAAAAAAAAAAGTGCCCAAGGTTTGGAATCTCAAGACTAAGGCAGATGGGGGAGGAGAAATGACGCGAATGAGCTGGAGTTCTCTTAGCGGGCTGGGGGAATAAAACACGGACTGTTTTGAAAGTAGAAGAGAGTAAAAGGAGTTAACCCTACCTCTTTGGGATTCCCCAGAGGCAACCCCCCATCGTTTCGCTGCCCAGTGGCACAAACGCCAGGAGCGTGCAAAAGGAAGCGCCATCTTGGGCTACGGAAGCACTGCACCGGCCCTGGCGCCGAAGACCCAGGAAACTTCCGTCTGCTCCGGGAGCACGTGGTGTAGCGGGCGGTCGCGCAGCGTGATGACGTAAGGGCCCGAGGCTGGGGGGAGAGCAGATGTCTCCGTGGTTTTTGATGTTCTGGAGTAGTTTGCTGGGAGTTTAGCGAGTAGGATTCCCGATCACATTTGAATCAAATAGGACCTGTCGGGAAAAGGCTTACAACCATGTATTCTAGAATGAGGCAATAATTAGAATGGCTGCAGTACGTGTGGCTTTGGGCAAATAACTTTTCTGAGCCTCAGCATTCTCATTTATGAAACGGAAATAATGAAATCCATAGACCGTCCTACAAAGAAGTCCTGGGTTCGACCCACATCGAAAAATAACAATAATAATTTAGCACACAGCTTGAAATAGCAATCACTAAGTGGCAGTTGTAAGTACTGACTGAATATAAATAATATAGATGTTTGTTTTGTATTTTCAGAAAAGGGCTCAGAGTAGATGGTTAACAAAGTATCAGAGTGTTTTTGTTTTGTTGAAACAATCTCGCTATATAGCGCGGGCTGGCCTTGAACTCTCCATAATCTTCCTGCCTCAGCCTCCCAAGTGCTGGGATTATCCATATTTATTCTTTATGTTCCAGATCTGTATTTTCCATAGCCTAATAGACTTTTTACCTGTTGTCCTCCCATCGCCTTACATTCAGTATGTCCAAAGCTAAGTTCATCTTCCTACATACACTTCCTCCTCTAGTCCCTGACTCCAGAAACTGCAACCTAACTCCATCTAGTTACCTTGGAGTCCCTGATTTTTCGCTCTCATCGGATATATCTCATTGTCATTGAGTTCCTATTACATTATTTCTCCCAGAGACTACTAAATAGGCTTTCTAGCTGGTCTCCCACTTTCCGCGGAATCACTAAGCTAAATCTCTGGCTTGGTTTTAGATTCTTAAAAATGGAGATTAAGTCCTATATCTCTGTGTCCCAGGGCCTCAGTATTCTCTGTAACCCAGATGAAGGGGAATGAATGACTGAAGTATAAAGAAGAGGGGTTTTGTGTCCACATCTTTGGGGTGCAGCAGTTCTTTCCACCAGGTGTCAGTCTGAGCCAACCTTTTCAGCTACTTATATGTGAAAAGAGAGATTTATTGCCTTTTTTTTTTAATTGGGGATTAAACACAGAGCCTCCCTGGCCTGTTTTTAAATTTTTATTTCTACTTTGAGACAGGGATCCCAAACTGCCCAGGCTGGGCTTGCCCTTGCAATCCTGCCTCAGCTTTCCAGGATGATGGGATCACAGGGTTGTGCCTCTGTACCTTATTTGTTCCCTTTTAACCCTAGGAGTGAAGAACTGGAGGAAAGGTTTCCTTCAGAAAAATCGTACTCTGTCAGTATTTTGCATTTTGGTAGTTACAACAGAAAAATTCCAGGGTTATATTTCTGTAGGATTTCTCCCTCTGTTCGTCCTGGCGTGAGAGCTGAAGCAATCCCTCCCATTGCCACTTAAGACATACATACCTCTGTTACTTTATCTCCCATTAAGGAATAGCTTTACCTGTCATCACTTGTATTATTGCACTTTTATAGACTGACTATTTATCTAACAAATTTAGCTTCATCATTCAGATGACTTATTTGCCTCTTAGTTAACAAGTAATTAATTCTTAACATTTGCATGTGTCCTAATTAGGAAGGGATGGAATCACTTGACAGACAAAGCGGGGTAGGACATTTGAGGTAGAGGGAACTACTTAGGCTAAAGCACCAGGTTATGAAACAAACTTAGCATGTGAGGAGGCACAAGGAACACAATCGCCAAAGTTTCACTTTGGGGAAATGAGGAGAGCGCTAAAGGGCCATGTGCGCCATGATGGGGAGTTTATGTCTTTCAGGCATTCGCAAACTGTTGAAAGGAACACAGGGAAATGACAAATTACAGGTAATGACAAATTAATAGGTAAAACTGGCAGCAACATGAAGAGTGAATTGGAAGGGATGAGACTCGGGAGACGAACAGGATCAGAGGCCACTGGGCTTCTCATATGAGACATAGTGTGGGCTCAGCTATCTAAGAGAGGATTACTGGCTACTTGAGTATAAAGGGAGAGGGGACCGATTAGATGGGAGCAAGAGGATGAGGAAAGAGCCAAAGCTGATTTGTAGTTTTCTGACAATAAGGGGATACAACAGAAGTGTGTTGGGATGGGAGGATGATAATTAGTTAAGTTTTTCATAGGATGAGTTTGAGGTATTTATAGGACCACCAGGTATAAATGTTCTATAGGTACATGATGAATTTCAAGACAGCCTGGTGGGGTGGTGCACATCTGTAATCCTACATGCTCATGAGGATGAGGCAGGATGATTGCAAATTTGAGGACAGCTTGGGTAACTTAGCGAAATAAAAATTAAAGAGCTGGGGCTTTAGCTCAGTGGGGCCATAACTGCCTTGCAAGCACAAGGTCCTGAATTTGATCCCTGTACCAAAATAAATAAATAAATAGGGCTTGGGAAGTAGGTTAGTGATAATGTTCCCCTGGCTTTGATCTATTGATCTATAGCGCGCTTTCTCTCTCTCTCTCTCTCTCTCTCTCTCTCTCTCTCTCTCTCTCACACACACACACACACACACACACACACACACACACATACACACAAAATCCAGAGAGGTGGGTATAGAAGAGATCATCCAAGGAGTAGTTATGGAACTAAGTAAGCAGGGAACAAACTGAAGGCACAACCCCAGTATTAAAGATGAGAATCAGTGAGACAGATGAGAATCAAGATGAGACATAAAATGCTTAGAGCAGGACCCAACCTTCACGAGCACTGGTCTGCAATAAAGTTGTATCTGACTCCCTGGAAAAGAAAGGGAAAAGGAGGCAAGAATAAGACAGGCCAATGCTTTGATTACCCTGTTCTTGGGACCCCCCATTTCCAACATGTGAGGGTCCTAGCCCGATCCAAGGACTAACTGGAGCCCTCATCTGTGGATAGGAAAGGGATGCTGCCCTCAGAGCTTGGTAATTGTTCTGGACTTTGCCGGGAGTCAGCAGCCAGCAACGCAGAAGCAGAGAAAGAGGGGGGGGGGCCTCAGGAGCTAGCCAGAGGGGTGCTGGGCTAGCTGGTGGTATGCTGGGGCCTTTGTCCTCCACAATGGGAGCTGGGTTACATGCTGACCTGGCTTTCTGAGCATGGGGCTGGAACAGAGATTCTACATGGCGGAAGCAAAGATGGATGGTCACCTAGTCTCTGAGGACCACATCTCTACTCCCAAACAATGAAATCCCTAGTAAGGATGTTCAGTACATTATCATAATAAATAATCATTATATGTGATTAATTCACAAGACAATTAATTCTTTACAGCAGCTAATCTAACGTGTATATTGCTGAGACAAATCTCATTTGTTCTTCATTCAACCCTGAAAGTTCAGCATTTTGTTTTGTTCAGGATTTTGTTTTGTTTTGAGACAAGATCTCACTATGTAGTCCAGGCTGGTCTTGAGATCACTACGTAGTCCAGGATGGCCTCAAACTCATAGTGATCCTCCTGCCTTAGCCTCCGGGGAGTGCTGGAATTACAGGCATGCACCACTATGCCCAGCCTCAGCAAGGTAGATGTTTTTATGGAACTTGAACCTGGTTTACTTTTTAGGTCCTGGTGATATGGGTTGGCTAAGGAGTAGCTTCAGAAAGGTAGTGAGTCAGTCTTGGACCACCTCAGAAGTAGCAATGGCAATCCGTGGGACCCACTGTGGAGAAATGAAGGAGGACAAATAGCTCTGTCTGCAGACTCCCAAACTATATGCACTCACTTCTGCCCCATCATTATGGACCGTGCTTCCATAGCACCCTGTGGACCTGAGATACGGAACTTTCTTCAATGAATAGGGGAGAAAACCTAGGATCATTGGTCCAGGAATATCCAGAGTTTGCAGGGTTGATCATTATAGTCAGTAGGCTATAACTCAGTCTTTCTTGTTGTTGTTGTTGTTGTTGTTTTGGTACTGGGGATCGAACTCCGGTCCTTGTGCTTGCAAGGCAGGCAGCAGCACCACTGAGCTAAATCCCGGGCCTGGCTATAACTCAAGTTTTAAGTGTTGAGACAGATTAGACTCCCAGATGACTCCAACTACAAAACATTAAGACTTCTGATAACTTTGTAACCACCCAAGTTTTTACTTTAGAAATCCTTTCTCTGTTTCCATAATTCCTATTGGAAAAACAAAACAAAATGTTTTTTTGTTTGTTTGTTTGTTTTTGAGACAGGGTCTCACTACATAGTTGAGATTGACCTGGAACTCACTATGTAGTCCAGGCTGGTCTCCAACTCACAGTGATCCTCCTGCCTCAGCCTCCCGAGTGCTGGGATTACAGGTGTGTGCCACCACACCCGGCACAAAACAAAACGCTAAAAAAATGATTATATGCCAGGAAAGAAGAGTGAGAATCTACAGCTAAAAATTTTTTTTACAGTCCTTAAAAAGAACCCTAAATACAAGAATAAAGTAGGGTGGTAGCAAAAAGGGAGAATAAGACAGCCAGAAAAAAAGAAGAAAATGAATTGGGTGTTTCCTGGGTGATCCCAAGAGTGCTAGATGCCAGAAATCCCCAAAGGCATATTCCTTTGCAGGATCTGATGATCTAGTTACCATCCAGCACTGGTTTGCTGTTTTATGTGAAGTATGAGGGTGTCCTTATTTGTCTCTCAAACTCTTCCTATTGTCTTCCAGATCCTCAATTCAGTTTTCCTCTCTCCTCTCTAGTTCTTTTTTTTTTTTTTTTTTTTTGAGACAGGGTCTCACTATGTAGTTGAAACTGACCTGGAACTCACTGTATAGCTCAGGCTGATCCCAAACTAACAGCGATCCTCCTGCCTCAGCCTCCCAAGTGCTGGGATTCTAGGTGTGCACCAACACACCTGGCTATTTATTTATTTTTGATACAGGATCTAGCTATGTAGTTCAGGCTGGTTTCAAACTTGGAGCAATCTCCCTGCCTCAGCCTCCCAAGTGCTAGGATTAATAGGTGTGTGCCACCATATCCTGCCCTATCATTGCTTTCTTTTTGGTACTGGGGATGAACCTTGCGATTGCAAGTCAGGTGATGACACCACTGAGTTAAATCCCTGGCCCTTTCACTGCTATTCTTTATGAATTTTGATCATACAGAATATTCATTTGCTCATGATATCCCTTCTTCACTGGCATATGTAGGGCTGTATTTCTCCATCTATTTATATATTGTGTGTATGCATTTTTCCGTTTTGGACTTGAATCCAGGACCCTGTGCATGCTTTACTGCCGAACCACTCTCCCAGCCATGCTTATTTATTTATTTATTTATTTTTTCCAGTACAGGAATCAAACTCAGGACCTTTCTCTTGCCAGGCAGGTGTGGCACCACTGAGCTACATTCGCAGACCTTTTTTTTTGGGGGGTGTGTGTGTGTGTGTGTGTGTGTGTGTGGTACCGGGGATTGAACTCAGGATTTTGTGCTTGTGAGGCAGGCGTGGTGCCACTGAGCTAAATCCTCAACCCCCCCATGTTTGTTTTTAATAACGACTCAATATTGTTATTAACCATCAACTCAATAGAAAAACTAGAATCTTGACAAATACATAAATTCACATGTACATGTCCCATTCCATCCCTTTCTCCTAAACCAAGATAAACACCATCATGATTCCTGTGTTTACTCTTCTTTTGTGTGTAGTTTCAGTTCATATATGTGTATTCTGAAAGTTATTCTTATTCTAGTTGCTTTCGTTTTTGGTGTGTTGAGACAGGGTCTTGATCTGTAGTTCAGGCTGGCCTTGGACTCACTATGGAGCCCAGGATGGCCTAGAACTCAGGGCGATCCTCCTGCCTCACCCTCCCAAGTGCTGAGATTGTAGGAATTAGCCACCATGCCCAGCTCATTTTTGGGTTTTATAAAGAAGTTACAATATCATTTGTAATTTTATGGAACTTTTTCTTTCTTTTCGTTTTTTTTTTTTTTTAATGAATTTATTACCAAGATCCAACCCTATTGGTTAGTGCCTTTCTGCTGATTCACTCATGTTGACGGCTGAATAATAGCTTTTTTTGGACAAGGTCTTGCTCTGTAGTTCAGGCTGGCTTGGAACTTGCTGTGTAGCTAAAAATGGCCTCAAACTCACAATCCTCCTGCTTCAGCCTCCTGAGTGTGACTATACACTGCTTTATTCATCCCTTCATTCTCCTGTTGATAAGTATCTGAGTTGCTTTGGTTTTTACCATTGTCAACGGTGCTGCTCTGTTCTTTTTTTTTTTTTTTTTCCTGCCTCAGGTTTGTTTGTAGAAAGAGCACAGGAGGACCCCAGACCTGTGCAGGTGATAGCCCGTGGGTCACACCAGTCCTTCTGTTCTCACATCAGCAGATAGAGATCTTTACTATGGAGCCTTCAAAGGGGCCTGGGCACCTTTGGGAGCCTAAGCCAGACCAGAAGTTGGAGCGGCAGCCTGAGCCTGGTCTTGGTTAGAACCTTAGCCTTTAGCCGGCAAAGCTTGTGACCCTTGGCACTGTGGATGTGGATATGCTTCCCGAGCTTGGGGTGGGCATTTCAGGCAAGTTGAATGAGTTTGTGCTTTACACCCTTTGAGATTTTGGGTTTGACCTCCTTGGGCTTGACAAGGGCCTTGACAACCTCAGCACGTGCACTCATGCCTGAGGCATTGTTTGCTCTCATCTTCTTCAGGTTCTTGTGTTTCTTGGCAAAACACATATTCCTCAGGAACCTGGGATCTTCCCTCTTCAGATATTTGCATCTTTGAGATCAGGGTTTCTTTTTTTGTTTTTTTGTTTTTGAGACAATGTCTCACTATGTAGTTGAGACTGACCTGGAACTCACTATGTAGCCCAGGCTGGTCTCGAACTCACAGTGATCCTCCTGCCTCAGCCTCCCAAGTGCTGGGATTACAGACATACACCACCATCCCCAGCTGAGATCAGGGTTTCTTGATGCCATTTCTGTGCTATTCTGGGGACTGGTTGTGTGGTGTGACTCTTGGACTTGGCCATAACTGTACTGCAACCCACAGTTGCCAAATGCTTGGTTCCAGAAGGAAAAAACGTTCTAAATATTCTTGTACACATCTCCTGGTGTATGTACAGAAATGTTTTTCTTGGGTATAAATGAAATTCCTGTATCAGAAGATATATGTTGCTGGATGTGGTGGCACATGTCTGCAAACCCAGCATTCAGGAGGCTGAGGCAAGAGGATTACTGTGAGTTCAGGGCCAGCCCAGACTACATAGTGAGTTCAAAGCCTAAACTACATAGTGAGACCCTGTCATTTAAAAAAAAGAAGAAGAAATGTATTTGGTAATCTTCACAGACTGCTGCTATTTTGTGTTCCAAAGTGATTATACCAATTTATACTCCTACTAGGAATCATAACTTTCTGTTACTTAGTTTTTTGGCTTTTGGAGACAGGGCCTTGCTATGTAGTTCAGGCTGGTCTTGAACTCACAGAGATCCTCCTGCCTCAGCCTCCCAAGTGCTGGGATTACAGGTGTTCTGGGATTACAAGTGTGCACTATTATGCCTCTTCTCTTCTCTTCTCTTCTCTTCTCTTCTCTTCTCTTCTCTTCTCTTCTCTTCTCTTCTCTTCTCTTCTCTTCTCTTCTCTTCTCTTCTCTTCTCTTCTCTTCTCTTCTCCTCTCCTCTCCTCTCCTCTCCTCTCCTCTCCTCCCTTCCTTTCCCTTCCCTTCCCTTCCCTTCCCTTCCCCTCCCCTCCTCTCCTCCTCCTCTTTCCTCCTTGTCCTCCTCCTCCTTCTTCTTCTCACCCTCCCCTCTCTGTCTCTCTCTCTCTCTCTGTACTGAACCTAGGGTATTGAACCCAGGGCCTCACACCTCATGCATGTTAGGCAAGTGCTCTGCCACTGAACTACACCCCCAGACCTCTGTTATTTTGCGTGTGTGTGTGTGTGTGTGTGTGTGTGTGTGTGTGTGTACTTGGTTGTCACTTTGTATCCTCATCCACATCTGCACCAAAGTATCTGTTGTCACCGTCTCTCCCCTTAATGTTATGGTGCTACTCTCCTGTCCAGGAACATTTTCTGGAGGTAGTACAAACCCTGCACGTTCTCTGAGGTCAGCAGTGGTGACTGGGATCTGAGAATATCGCTGGGTGAGATCCAGCAAGGGTTACAGGCCCTAACATTGGGAGTTGGTGGGGCTTTTAGAACACAAGAGACTCCAAGGATTGGTGATGAATTCTTTCTTTCTCTTTCATGAAAACAGGAGCACCTGTCCCCTTGGGTGCCTTCTGTTCTCAGCAATTCTTCCTGCATATAGATGGGTTAGAGGGGCATGGAGCTTTAGGACTCTAGTGTCCCGGTCATGGCTATATTATAGGACACGAGATCCTCACATTGCTTCATGCTCATGACTTTGTCGCCTTCCTTTCACCATTGCCTGCCATGGCCTTGTGAATTTAGAAAAGATGAAGTACCACCCAATTTTCAGGTTCAAACTATTGACCCTTTTCCTCCTCCTAGGTCCCAACCCCACTCCTAGCCTATGCATGGAGGATAGTTTCTTCCCCCATCTCTCTGTGGTTTAAAAGGCCAGGCTGAGGGTTTGGAAAGGAAGGTGCTAGCATGGGCTGGGGGTAGGGAACCAGGGCTTGGAGAAATCCAGACACAGCAGAACTATTCTGTTCCAGAGCTGCAGGGTCCACAGATTCCAGCCCAAATCAACCAATGGGAGAAGGCCCTCTAATCCCAGGGAACTAAAGAATTCTCTTCATTTATCCAACTTCCCTACTGAACCCCATTCCTTATCCCCACCCCCACCCTTACCCCTGGTGGACTCAGAGGAGCCTGAGGTCCCCAGAAGCACAGCCCTATGCCCTGTGAAGCAAATCAAGTTGAACGGAGCTTCCAAGTTTTAAAAACTGTTCTAATGCAGAGGTCAGTTAGGACTATGAACCCCACTTTGACACAAAGAGAAGAACAGAGTTTTCTCATTCCCTTGTCCATGAGTCTCATCTTTGTGGTTTGTGACTCTCTGGGCTCATCTCCCTGGTGAGGATGGAGTAGAAAACCCAGCTGCTCTATCAGATGTATGAGTGTGGCTTCAGCCTTCCACAGCTGTGAAGGAGTTAAGAGGATGGGCCAGCTACCTCAGCCTGCCCCTCCCCGGGATTAAGAGCTCTCTATAAAGGGGACTGTCCACCCAGACCAGGCCAGGGGGCATCAGGAACCCAGGAACGTGCCCATCCCCCTGCCATGTGGGAACTGCGCTCTGCCTCCTTCTGGAGGGCCATATTTGCTGAGTTCTTTGCTACCCTCTTCTTTATCTTCTTTGGGCTTGGGGCCTCATTGCATTGGGCGCCCGGACCCCTGCCTGTCCTGCAGGTGGCTCTGGCCTTTGGCTTGGCCCTGGCTACATCGGTGCAGACAGTGGGCCACATCAGTGGAGCCCATGTGAACCCTGCAGTCACTTTTGCCTTCCTTGTGGGCTCTCAGATGTCCCTGCTCCGAGCCTTCTGCTATATGGTAGCCCAGCTCCTGGGAGCTGTGGCTGGGGCTGCTGTGCTGTATAGTGTCACCCCGACTGCCTTCCGAGGAAACCTAGCACTCAACATGGTAATGGTTGGCTGAGGGAGTTGGGGAACCTGGTGGCCTACTGGCTGTTTCCCTAATTCCCTGCCTGATGCATGTGTGTGTGTGTGTGTGTGTGTGTGTGTGTGTGTGTGTGTGTTTCAAGGTGGGGAGCATCAACAGGCAACTTGGAGGGGAAAGGAAAGCATAGAGGGCTAGACTAAGAATCAGGAAAACTGAGTTTGGATTCCAGATTTCCTTCCAACTCCTTTCAGCTTCTTAAGGAAATATATTTTACCTTACAGAACCTCACTTTCTTCTTCCATGTAAGTGGGTACAATCGCTTGTATGTGTGTCCTTCCTGTCTGAGGAACTGAGGCCGTAAGGGAATCCCTGCCTGGCCTGGGAGCCTTAGGGAGGTAATGCTCTGGCAGCGCTGCTGAACTGCCACCTTCCTCTTCCTTTGTCCAGCTGCATTCTGGAGTGAGTGTGGGCCAGGCCACCACAGTGGAGATATTCCTGACACTCCAGTTCGTGCTCTGCATCTTTGCCACATACGATGAGAGGCGGAACGGCCGCCTGGGCTCTGTAGCTCTGGCTGTTGGCTTCTCCCTCACCCTGGGGCACCTCTTTGGGGTAAGTAGTCAGAAAAGCAACTTCCCACTGCAGGATTCAAGGGCCTCCAAACCTTTTCCAACTTTTTGTTTTGTTTTGTTTTGTTTGAGGCAGGGTCTCACTCTGTAGTTGAGACTGACCTGGAACTCACTGTGAAGCCCACGCTGGTCTCGAACTCACAGCGATCCTCCTCCTGCCTCAACCTCCTGAGTGCTGGGATTACAGATGGGCACCACATGCCCAGCCCCTTTTCCAACTTTTAAGGGTTCTTCCTGCCCACTCCACTGTCAAACATGACCGCTTTCCACCTCTCTGTTATCAGTAGGCTCAAAAGACTCAACCCTGCACTATCCCTCTCTCGTGATTACTATCTTTAGTCCCTCACTTGCAGGTAGAAATGCATGCATCATAAGTGGGGTTGGGATTGCCTGAGTCCATTATCTACATCACTAGAGTCATGCAGATTGTCCTTCCCTTCTTACTGCTGGCTGGGGACACATTATCAGCTGTCAGGGTTATGTGGGCTATGATGAGAAGCCAGATGCAAGGGGTCAGGGGTGGGATTCTCAGAATGTCTTTTTCTCTCAATTTTTTTCTTCATTTTTGTTGAGACAGGGTCTCTCCATGTAGTTTAGGCTGGCCTTGAACTCACTATGTAGCCCAGGCTGGCCTCGAACACCTGGCAATCCTTCTGCCTCAGCCTTCCAAGCACTGGAATTACAGGAGTGTGCCACCACTCCCGCCTTACCACTGTGTCTCTTGCAGATGTATTATACTGGTGCAGGCATGAATCCTGCCCGCTCCTTTGCTCCTGCCATTCTTACCCGGAACTTCACCAACCACTGGGTGAGTAAGGGGAGAGGGGCAAGATCTTTGAGTCTCCTTCTGGATGGTGCTGAACTGAAGGTTTCGTGTTTGGTCCCTGCTTTCCTTCTGGATGTATTGGCTGCCCTGCCAGCACTCAGCTAAAGGGGCTGTCAGAGAGCACGGTATACCGGTGTGAACAGTTTGCATTATTTTGCTGGAAAGAGAGGGTCTTAGCTGGATGTCAAGATACATGCCTATAGTTTCAGCACTCAGGAAGCTGAGGTGTCAGGAACACCTGAGCCCAGAATTTCAAGTTCAGCCCTGGCAGTGTAGTTAATAAGGTAAATTTTATGTTATAAAGTATATTTGGAGCCAGGGACTTAGCTTTGAGGTTCTGCCACCTTCCTCGCAAGCACAAGGTCCTGAGTTTGATCCCGGTACCAAAAAAGTACATTTTATAATCTCAAAAATTTTTTGAGAAAAATAAACTGATGACAAGTAGAGTATATAAGTGTTAGAAGGCATGGGGCAGAGGAACAACCATAAATCAGAAAAGAAATGGTGATTTTGGAAGTACAGAGAGTGGAGTTTAAAAACATAAACTGGTGTTGGAGCTCAATGACAGAGCATGTGCTTAGCATGTGTGAGGCCCTGGGTTTAACATGTATCACTACACAAATAAAACCCCAGGATGATTTCTACTTAGACAACGCTGTTGCCTATGAAAACTGCACATTGTCTTGATTTCCACTGAGGGGGTTAGAAGAAGAGCAGCCTGGCTGCGCAGTCCTTTTCCTGGGCCTGAGCATTCCTTTTCTCTTCCCACAGGTGTACTGGGTGGGCCCAATCATTGGAGGGGGTCTGGGCAGCCTTCTCTACGACTTTCTGCTCTTTCCCCGGCTCAAGAGTGTTTCTGAGAGACTGTCTATCCTCAAGGGTGCCAGACCCGGTGACTTCAATGGACAACCAGAGGGCACAGGGGAACCTGTTGAACTGAAGACCCAGGACTTATAAAAGTTCCAGCTGGAGAGGGGCAGTAGAAAGCTTTTGGTTTTCTGTGGAGATGCTGAGCCAGTTCCTAAATGAAGAATGAGGCTGTGGGGAGGGGCATGTACTTCTTTATTTTTTAATTTAATTGTGTGTGTGTGTGTGTGTGTGTGTGTGTGTGTGTGTGTTTCCCTTTTTGCTGTGTGAAATCTTTCAAGTTGCATTCATGAGCTGGTTGGTGCCACCTTCCCATCCTCCCCAACCCACCTTCCTTCACCGTGTGTGCCAGATTGTGCATGTCTGAACGTGGGTGAGTCTGGCTATGTCCCTCCTGCAGCCCAGTGCGGTGAGCTTAGCGTTAGGGTTCTGGCCTTTACCTGGCTTCTATTCATTTATGGCTCTTGATTTCTGAGGGAGCTGGGGGACAGGAAGTTACTCCTCCCAGAAAGCAGACGAAGAGAAGTGGAGAAGATGAAGTATTCCAAGGTTTGGGAGAAGGCGCTCAAGGGAAGTGGGTGGACTGGGGGGAGATGGAGATATTAGCCCCAGGACATGCAAGTGTACCTAAAAGTTTTTTTGGGGGGGTTAATGTGAGAATACGATCTACTTATCTCAGGGATGCTTGTCCCAGGGACTTGGGTGGGGAAGTAGCTCTGAGAAAAGTGAACACTGGGATGTGAGTTGTTGTGTAAAGCCACATAAACCTGTCTACATCCGCTGGTTGGGTTGTCTGTTCATTCTGGTATAATGGATCTCTAGAGGCCCTGGGCAGGGAGCTCCCAACCTAAATAGAAGGTGGGCGAACCTAGAATCTAGAAAATTAAGCAGCTTTGGGCTGAGGATTTAGCTCAGTGGTTTTACCACATGCCTCACAAGCGCAAGGTCCTGAGTTCAATCCCTGGTACAAAAAAAAAGTGACTATTCTCTTGCCGGGCGTGGTGGCACATGCCTGTAATTCCAGCATTTGGGAGGCTGAGGCAGGAGGATCGCTGTGAGTTCGAGTTAGAGACCAGCCTGGGCTACATAGTGAGTTCCAGGTCAGTCGCAACTACATAGTGAGGTCTTGTCTCAAAAAACCAAAAATAAAAAAAAGAGAGAAAATTAAGCAGCTTTATATCCCTTGGCAGATGACATATAAACCCCGGAATTGCTCCCAAGGGTCAAACCAGGAAGTCTACCTCCTGGTGTAAATTTAGCAGAAAGAATAGGGGACAAACAGGCTTTGACTTAAGTTATTTAGAGCAAATCCAGACACTTTCCAAATGATATGTCATCTTTTATCACTAGCTCTAGTCTCTAGGTCTTTTCACTTTTCTCTCATCTGACCTTTAATTTCACAGCAAACCTCTGCTAACTGTCCCTAATACCTCAGAAATTCATTTCTTCTATCCAAATGCTTAGTAATTCGGTGATGATTCTTTGGAGCCCTATCTTCTTTCATTGTTGGCAAAATACACCACTTCAGCAGAGATAAGAAGACAGTCAACTGAACAATGAATATTTATTATCTCTTCCTTTTATGACTCTCCTGCACACCTCACAAACTTTAAACTGATACCTATAGTATGAAACAACCCGAACTCCTACCAATACCTCAGCTCTCCACTTCCTCCGAAATAAAATATAACATTTCTAACCATTTAAAATTTTGGAATAGTCCACTTTGCTTGGAGGGGAAAAAAGTCCACTTTAGTAGGATAAATTCGCCTTTAATCGGACTTTGATTCCTCTTATAATCCAACAGATAATTCTTAGTGCGGTAATATTTAGGTCAATGTAAGGCATCGACTTCGACAAAACAGTCCTTGTAATCGCTTCCCTTTTCCATGCCTCATAACCAATTCTCCCTCCCCCCCGCTCGTTCGGAGTCAAATGGACCAGCCTGACTCGCCCCGCCTCTCTCCCGGCGCAGGCCAGGAGAGGTCCCGCCGAGCCTGGCGGCGGGAAAGGCTGTAGAGCTGCGTCTGCGGGCATCTGGGTCCGTGGGGCTCCGGAGCACCCGCGGTGAGTGGGTGAGTGTGGCCACAGGGCTCTGGGTGAACTCGTATGCGCTTGGAACTGCAGGAGATAGCGCGGGTCGCGTGGAGTCTGCGTTCCCGCCACTTGGTTGAAGGGCAGAGGGGCGGGGCTTGGCCCTGCACGCGCATGCGCACGCGCAGCGCCATCCGGGGTGTGGTGGCTGCTTGGTCCTGGACGAACAGCTCTGCGCACCTGTGAAGGCTGGGGACCGGGACCCTCAAAAGTACAGCAGGCGGTTTCGAGGGATTTTCACTTCGCAGCTCCCCATCCATTTCAATTCTTTAAAAAAAAAACTTGCGGCTTGTGGATATCAGGGGTCAGAATGCAGATGTGGGGTTTGTGGATGTCAGGGGTCAGAATTCACAGGGCTTGATTTAAATTTTGGGTTTTTATAGAACACATCCCTCCCTTCGGGTTTGTCAGCTAGATCATTAACCACTTAGAATCTTGAGTGTGCAGGCCGGCCTTTAGCTCACGATGTAGCCTAGGCTGGCCTCGAACTCATGGTGATGCGAATGCTAGGATTACAGGTTTTCGCCACCATCCCCGGCGAGTTTCAGTTCTTTACTCTCCTAGTACCTTTAAGAAAATCAAGCCGATCGTTTTTTGTTAACTTTAAAATTCCATTTTGGTGAAGATACAGCTCAGTGGTAGAGCCTTTGCCGAGCATGCACAAGGCCCCTACTTTCGATCCCCAGCACTACAAGGGGTGGGGATTAAAAGCTTTAAAAATCTCCATTTTGGCCACACAAAGTTAGAATTCTTAGGTGGATGACTGTGGACTTTCACAAGTCTGGCCCTGGCCCTTTAAGTCTTATTTACTAAAACCCTTGACATGTTTTTCTCATTTTTTCCACTTGTATCTCAGCCTCCGGGAAAGGATATGTTTCCTTTGTGCTTTTTCTTATCTCAATACCTGTGAGCCTTTTATTTCTTCTGCTTGGAAGTTTTTCATTTTTGTGTTTTTGAGACAGGGTCCCACTAAGTAGTTCAGGCTGACCTTAACTCAATAGGTAGCCCAGGCCAGCCTCTTGTGGTAATCCTCCTGCCTCAGTCTCCTCACTACTGGGATTATAGGCCTGGGGCACCACATCCAGCCTCCTTAGAAGTTCTTGTCATTTGTTTGCTAGATGAACTTGTCTTTGAGGACTGTGTTTACTTGTCACTCTCACTTTATCTGGTCCAAGGCCAAGCTGATCGCTTCCTCTTTTGTAGCCCTGAAATATTGAATCCTCCTCGATTATCATCGGCACTCAACACTTAATAAAAGGTTGTAGAGCTCCTCCTGTATACCACGCACTATGTTCAATGCCAAGTGTACAGAGATGAGTGGGATAAAGTTTCTGTCCTTGAGGAATTCACAGTGTAGTAGTAAAAACATAAATGAAACTTCTGCAGTTACAGTGACAGGATGATAAAGTTCTGCCTGACTCATTCCTTTTGCTCTTCACTTGCACACATACCCTGCCACCTTGAAATTTCCAGCTCCAGCCTCTCCTTCCTCAACTTTTAGACTTGTCTGCTTCAGTTTAGTCACGCATTTATTGAGCACCTACATTATGCTCATTATGGGGATTCCTGAGTTTGAGAAGTTTAATTTTTTGTTTTGTTTTGGTAGCGGGGATTGAACTTGGATCCTTGTGCTTTCGAGGCAGGCAGTGGAACCACTGAGCTAAATCCTGGGCCCCTCAAGAAGTTTAATTTTAGTGCAGGTATTAATGGGGGATTGCATTTAAATCACCTGAGGACCATTTTCAAAACACTTTGCCCAAGGGCCTGGGGATATAGCTTAGTGGCACTGAGCCTACCTGGCAAGTGCAAGGCCCCGAGTTCGATCTCCAGTACAAAAAAAAACCCCAAAGAACCATTTGCCCAAGCCCTGCCTGCTAGAAATTTTGATCCAGTAACTAGGCTCTCAAAAGTCAAAGATCTGCAAGAAAAAATTCTTGTTCTCAGGTAACCAGTATAAAGGAGTCCGTAGCCAGGTGTGATGGTGCATGCCTGTAATCCCAGCACTTGAGAGGCTGAGGCGGGAGGATTGCTGTGAGTTTGAGACCAACCTGGGCTACATAGTGAGTTCTAGGTCAGTCTCAACTACGTAGTGAGACCGTCTCAAAAAACCAAAAAATAAATAAAATAAAATAAAGGAGTCCATAGACTCTAGGTAGATGAGAAAAGGGAATTCTGGACAGGAGTGATTTGAGCAAGCTTGAAAGATAACAACAGGCAGATCATAAAGTATTTTGTATTGTGGATGTTGGGGAGGCATCAAACTTGGATTCGGTGTGGTAGTGTACATTAATGATAAACAATTCAAATAATAAATTGGAAAACAAGTTTTTTTGTTTGTTTTTTTGGTGTTTTTTTTTTTTTTTTGCCCTAAAGTCTCTAAGTCCCTAGTTCTCTCCAGAGGCATCACTATGGTGTTTCTTTCTTTTTCTTTTTCTTTGTTTGAGACAGCATCTCTTTCTTTTACGATTGGCTTCAAACTCCTAGATTTAAGCAGTCCTCCTGCCTTAGCCTCCTTGAATAGGTAGGACTACAGACTTGCATTACCACATCCAGCTGAAGTTTCTGACATACCTACTTAAGGTTTTTGTTTGTTGGTATTGGGTTGAACCCAAGGCCTCATACCTGCTAACCACATGCTGTACCACTGAACTATATAGCTGCAGCTCATTTGAAGCGCTTTAGGTAGGGCACTTATATGGCAAATCAGGTAACTATATTGTGGCTAGATTTAAGAGAACAAGATTGGAGAGGGGGAACAAGATTAGGAAGCAGTTGAGTAATCTAACCAAGACACTCAAGACCTGAACTAAGGCAGTTAGCAGTGGGGATAGAAGAGGGCAGATGGGGAGTTTAAGGAAGTTAAGGGAGGTGGAGGTATCTAAGATGACTCCTAGGTTTCTTCTGATGTGCGTAGCTTTGATATGTCAGGCCTGAGAGATCCAAAACAAAAGTAGAAACAAATTCAGAGGGGCAATGAATTCAGTTTTGCACATATTGTGTGTGAGATGGATATTATTCACTGCTGTTTAACGAGTGGGATTGGTACCTTGGGAGTTCAGAAGGACCCAAGAAACAGATTTGCTGGCTTGGATGATGGTTGAAGTAGAA